CCGATATTTGGAACCGATATACATTTGCAGTAAAATCAGAAAATCTCGGTGTCAAAATGTAGAATAACAGAACTTCTATGAAATGTCTTTTTATGTTTAATGAACTTTTCAACATCTTAAAACTGGTTTTCTCTCTGTGACCCTGAGTGAAGTAAAAATAAAAACTACTAAAACTTGTTCTGAACTTCTGATTGGTTGAGTCTCACTCATTTAGTAGTCCCAATTCAGCAGCACCTGATTGTGGTGCAGAAAGCAGAGTTGCTGCGAGGCTCCACTAGCAGCCGTCCCAGTTTCTCCGCTGCGAGACGCTAATTTTTCTGTCCCTTTAGTGGATTGGTATATTAGAGAGTATTATAATTTCTCTAGTCTCTCATAAAGTCTATTCAGTTAGTTATATTTGTGGAGAACAAAAATGTGAACTTTTAAAACTCACACAATGTCCTTGCTTTCAGGTATTACCACTTACCCGTGGGGAACTTGCCTCAGGATGTGTCCATCTTTGGCTCAGATCTGTTCCTGGCACGACATCTGAGGAAACACAACCACCTGCTGTGGCTCTCCCCCACCGCCAGGCCTGATCTGGGAGGAAAGGAGGCCGATGACAGTCGTCTGGTGATGGAAAGTGATGACAGGGGCTCGGTGGAGATCAATGCTCAGGGATGCTATTCCACAGGTATTCACACACCAAGAACTCTCTTCATCTGCGTCCAAGAAACAAGGCATAAAACTACTTTTTGAAGCCTTGCTCTATGTATTTATGGACGACCCTGTTATTCTTTCTCTCAGTGTGTGTGGAGTTGGACCTGCAGAGCCTTGCGGTGAACACCATCCTCCAATCACAACATGTCAACGACATGGAGGGCGGGGCTAGCTTGGGTGTCAGTTTTGATGTGATCCAGCAGGCCTCGTTGGAGGACATGATGTCAGGGAACCAGGGAGCCAGCGCTCTGGCCAGCTATGATGAGACGGCTCTCTGCTCCAACACCTTCAGGTGTGTAAACAGCTGTAGTGTGTTACTATGGAAACCAGGGGTGTCAAACACATTTCAGTTCATGGGCCACATACAGCCACATTTGATCTCAAATGGGCCGGACCAGTAACATCATAGTGTAATAACCCTATAAATAACAACAACTCCAAATTGTTCCTTTGTTGCAGTGCAAAAAAGGGAACAATTTCAACAATATTATGCCTCAGTTTATCATTTACACATGTGCATTACAACGTACAGATCACACATGTGCATTACAACGTACAGATCACAGTGTATCTACAAAGGCACAACACATTAAGTCACAGGTATCTGGAACTGAACAATATAGTATTTTACTTTATGCTCAAAACATCTGGTCACGATCTATACATTATTGTACATTCATTTCCACATCTGCGTCGTAATCCTGACCACCTGAACTGACACACCACCAACAAACTAAAGTGGGAAAGTGTAAACAAACATGTCTATGCTTTAATGATGCTGGGGTGTCGGGGGAAGCGTGTTGTGTTTTAATGATTTCCTTTTGCCCTGTGTTGAATGAGCAGGATCTTGAAGAGCATGGTGGTTGGGTGGGTCAGAGAGATCACACAGTACCACAACGTGTATGCAGACAACCAGGTGATGCACTTCTACCGCTGGCTGCGCTCCCCCAGCTCTCTGCTCTACGACCCCGCCCTGCACCGCACCCTGCACAACATGATGAAGAAGGTGTTTCTACAGTGAGTGCTTTCATCGTTTTGTCCTCACATTGATATATCGCTACTTTTTGAAAAGCCTAACAGCGACTGAACTCTTCTCGTCATTCTCTCGTCCTGCTGCCAGGTTGGTTTCAGAGTTCAAACGTCTCGGCTCCACTGTGGTGTACGGAAACTTCAACAGGATCATGTTGTGCACTAAAAAACGGAGGATAGATGATGCCATTAGTTATGTGGAGTACATCACCAACAGGTCAGTTACACTCTTTATATAAATGTATATTTTAAAGGAAGGATCACTTGTTTTTACAATGTAATTTTAATAAATATTATCGTTAGAATCTAAAAACATCATATGTATAGAATAAAGGGCAACTGTATAAAAAAAAAAATGGTGCTTCCCAGACAAATGCAGCCTTTGGTCGAAACAGTGTGTGTGGTCATTAGACTGAAGACACACCACAACAATAACATCAGTAGGGAAAAAAGATAATTACCCATTAGTACCGTGGGCTGTTTGCCACAGATGGGTGCAGTCTCCATCATCTTACCATTAGACTACATCGTTTTACAGGAATTGTCTTCTGGGATTTTTGTTATTGAAACATTACAATGGTAAACCCACAAAAACATGTCTGTCTTTCAATGCAGCATTTTCAATTCTCTCTGAAGATCAAACCATAATGCGTTTAACTGTTTGTTTGACTTTGGTCAATATTGCTAATTTCTGAACATCCGTCTGTGTTCAAATGTGTCTTGTCTCGTTTAGCTATTAAGGCCCCACAATCTGGAACAAACTGCCTGAATCATGCACGTCAGCAGAAACGCTTACTATTTTCAAATCGAGACTGAAAACATATCTTTTTTTCCGCTGCTTTTAATTGAGCTGCTCATATTCACACTGCAGTTTGCTTTTTATTCATGTGTTGTCTAACTGTTGTTTTTATCTTTGCCTTTTAAATGCCTGTTGTAAAATGCCATTATATAATGTGTTTTTACTGTATTTATTCTTAAATGTCTTTTATTTTATTTTGTAAAGGACTTTAATTGTCCCGTACTGAAAGGTGCTATGTAAATAAACTTGCCTTGAAAGTACAGTAGTCTTCTCCTGTTGTATTTTGACTCTCCTCTCTCCTATCATACTGTAACTGAAAGAGCCCTAAATATGTGTCCTCCAGCATCCACTCCAGAGAAATCTTCCACTCTCTGTCCATCTCCTTCTCCCGATGCTGGGAGTTCCTGATGTGGATGGATCCGTCAAACTTCAGCGGTGTGAAGGGCAAACTGCCCTCCAGCCTCATGAGCGGAGAGGTAACTCTTTAATACCATACAATGTATTTGCAATGATAAAAAAAATAATAAAAGGGCCTAGAACTCATTCCTCCTCCATGGTCTCCTTTAGGACGGAGCCAAACAGAAGAAAAAGAGCCGAGGAGAGGGAGATGAGGAAGGCAGTGAGGATGAAGAGGAGGATCCAGTTGAGGAAGATGATGGTGATGGTGAGACGGATGAAGTGGAGGAGCTCATTGAGAGCAACTGGAACATCATGCAGTATCTCCCTGAAACTGCCTCCTGTCAGAAATACTTCCTCATGATTGTCTCCGGTAAGAATACATTCATATTGTCTGTGGTAGAACAAAAACATCCATTTACAGAATAAATACAGCCGTACAATTCAGGTATCATTGTGTTTATAGAGAGGCGAAGTCCCTCCCTTTCCGGTGGAGCTCCATGGGCCCTTATTTAGGAAAAAGTCTGTATTGAAGTCAATGGAGAGAGAAAAGTTATCTTTCGATCCCGTTTGAATTATGCCACAAATTACACATATGATGTTTGTCAATTTAAAAGATAATTTTGCAAGTCAAATTTTTTTAAATGTGTCGTAAAACTGTGAAGTAACACTTTTGTTTGTGGGAAACCGCTCAATGAACTACATCTCCCGTCTCGCACCACACACCAAGATGGCCGTCACGTTGGCACATTTGACTTCTTTCTTTCAGAATGAGGCGAAAAGTATTAAAAGAGGTGAAAATCACTCCAAGTCTGGGCATGTTGAGAGCTGTACATACACACAAGGGGAGTTAGTCGGTTCGTAAGAGCCAGCATGCGGGACCGGGATTCTGGGATTTGTAGTCTTTCTAGTTGCGTATTTTTCATAGTCTTATATTTCAACAGTTTTACGACAAACTGTGACTTTTTTTACATGGAAATGATTTTTTAAGATTGACAAACATCATATGTGTAATTCATGGCACAATTCAATAATAGCAATCTTTCTCTCTCCATTGACTTCAATACATACTTTTTCCGAAATAAGGTCCCATGGGTCTGAAGTAGATGGGCGGGACTTCGCCTCTCTATAGAGAATCCCGGTTTGCAACACTGTCAATAATAGTGCTTTTTCAAAATCTATACATTATGCGTTTTTTTAATGTTGCCTTTTTGCTCTACCATATCTGACACGACACTTTCCACGCCAGCCTACATTGCAGCAGTGTACCACAGCATGAAAGAGGAGCTGAGACGCAACGCTCCTGGGGCCACGCCGGTCAAGAGGCGTGGAGGCAGCCAGGCTACCCAGCAGGCCGTGGGGGACTTGAGTGCCCTTCCTGGTAAGATACTGTGAAGGAGCTGCTTTAGTTACTAAAGAGTTGTGTTCCTGAAGAACTTCACATTACACTCGTTAGTCACTGCAGATTAGTTTCTGTTACACTTAAACCTGTGAAGAGGAGAATCTTGATCGATTTCATCTCAGATGTGATGGATTGTTTTTAAACTCTCCCTCACAGGAATGATCGTCTTCTCCCAGGAATACGTGTCCAGTGAGCTGACACAGAACTTTTTCACCATCACTCAAAAAATCCAGAAGAAGGTGTCGGGTACCAGGGGGGTCAACCAGCCCTCAGAGATGTTCCCCGTCCTGCCTGGATCCCACCTGCTTCTCAACAACCCAGCACTGGAGTTCATCAAATACGTCTGCCAGGTACATAAGTATTACGATCATTTACAAAGCTATTTTCTTTAGAGATGCATCGATTGTTATTTTCTTGGCCTATTCCGTTGTTGTTGTTATTTGATTAAATCTGCTCATTTCCATTTTATTCCACACGGAAGTGAATGTGGAATAAAATGCGTCGCGTCCGTGCCACGTAAATACCATCATAAGGCACATGTGTTTATGTGAACAGCGGCAATTAAAATGATCAAGAGACGTCAGACAGCTGATCTTGCGATACGTCAAGTCATCTTCTCAATTCCTCTTCTGTCGGATCAGGTCCTGTCTCTGGATGCCAACATAGTGAACCAGGTGAACAAGCTGAAGAGAGACCTCCTGCGTCTCGTGGACGTCGGAGAGTTTTCAATGCAAGCCCAGTTCAGTGACCCCTGTAACTCCTACATCCTGCCAGAGGTCATCTGCCACCAATGCAATTTCTGCCGTGACCTCGACCTCTGCAAGGACCCATCTGTGGCACAGGTAAGAGGATAACACTGATAGTCTGCATAATAACAATAACGCTATTATTACTCCTACATTTGAACCTGCTTACAATACAGCTTTATTTATAGAGCACTTTAAACCTCCAGACCAAAGTGCTGTACAGTCAAATAAACAAAACAAAACATACAAAAAAATAACTCAGCTCACACACCATAAAACAACTACAAGTAAAAACAATAGACATTTTAAAACAGGGGTGTGAAACTCAAGGCCCGGGGGCCAAACCCGGCCCGCGACTTCATTTTATGTGGCCCCACAAGAGCTTGAAAAGAATATAATATGTTTGTTATACGGTTACATGGCGATTTACAGAAGCACGTTGCCCATACATGGAGCACAATGCATCTCAAATTTGACTTTTTTTTCTCAAATTTGACTTTTTTTCTTCTAAATATGCCTTTTCTCTCAGAATTTACACTTTTCTCAGAATTGACTTTTTTTTCAAAATGTTACTTTTTTTTTTCAAAATGTCTTTTAAAATCATTTTGTGACATTCTCACTGAAGAGACTTGCAATTATTTGCCCCAGACTTGCCCCAGAGTTAATTATAAACTTATTACCCTATCCGATAATAATCCAATGCAGAGGCAATCATGTAATATAACACATTATTTTATATATATTAAATATTTATATGTGTATTTNGTGTGCCTTTGGCAGTCTCTAGCTTTTTTTTCTCAAAATTGACTTTTTTTCTTCTAAATATGCCTTTTCTCTCAGAATTTGCCCTTTTCTCAGAATTGACTTTTTTTTCAAAATGTTACTTTTTTTTTTCAAAATGTGTTTTAAAATCATTTTGTGACATTCTCACTGAAGAGACTTGCAATTATTTGCCCCAGACTTCTGCTTTCAGACCGAGTTAATTATAAACTTATTACCCTATCCGATAATAATCCAATGCAGAGG